TATGGTTACATCTAACCAACTCAACTGAAAATTGATGAGATCTCAACTGCTTAAATTCAAAAGGTATAGGTACAATTCAAAAGGTATAAGTGAAGAGCTCATCCAAACAATTTCCATGAAATTATTTATAGAAAAGGCACAGAGAGGTAACCTTATGGTGGTAGGAAAGTGACTGAAGCCAAGATACCAGATCAGGACAAATAATATTGCTGGTTCTTTATTGGATTTTATCAAAGAGCTCTAGATAAATAGCAGGATCAAATGCTGCAAACATATGCAATATAACTTGGAACAGTTCCATTCTGTTCAGATTAGCTATACTGTTGAAATCCTCCCTCAGTAGTAACAAATCTACTACAGTCAGCTTGGGCAGCCCTCTAGGATAGGGGTCTCAAACTCAAGGACATAAGAGGCAAGATTTTGCATGTGTTCCAGTCATTCCTGTTTATTAATTTCATTTGCCATTTAGCAACCCTAATTTACTTCAATTACAAAATATAAATATTTCCACCTTTCTTGAAAAATTAAGTTCTCCTTGGCAATTTTCTTTTTCTTTGACTTTGTCAACATTTTTCTTTTTTGTTTCAGTTATATAATTGACCAAAAACACATCTTTCTTCCTTGAAATTTCTGTTTATTTTTGACAATCTTCTATCAAACCTCTTTCTAACATAATTTTCTGTTGTTTGTTTTAGTTGTCTTTTACCACATGTAGCTCCTCCGCTCCAATATGAGTTGGGTAGCTGATGAAGAATATGTGGTGGTAGGGACATCAGAGTTTTCTTCCCTTCCCTGTAGAGGAACTAGAACAGACACTACTGACCTTAAAGTGATTGACTGTCTGGTGGGTAGGTCAACTTTAATACTACTACTGCAGAAGTATGGGATGTATGAGGGACAACTTTCTTAAGCTTAGTGAAATTTTAGGAAAATATTAGTCATAAAAATGTTTCCCACAGGTCGCAGAAAGATAGTTGGCAGCTGCACGTTTGAGATCTGTGGCGTAGGAGAAGAAAACTCCATGAGAACCTTACTAATTTTTTTCCCACTTTACAAGTTTAAAGGGGTGAATTAGTATTGTGTATGCTATACTTAACCTTAAAACTTTTACTAGTGCCTTTATAAGAACTATTCATGTGTCTTCCAGAACAATTGTGGAAAAACCTCCAAAACCTTTGTTCAAGAAGTTAAGCCATGATGATATGTACAGTACAAGACAAAAAAAGTGCTATATGTGATACACACTTAGGTGATCATATCTCTTTCAATTCATGACTAAGGGTAAATTTTTCCACAGCAGGCTGCTGTTTATTTTTGTGATAGACTGGTTGTCAACCAAGGGCACTTATCTGTACTGATGGATTCATATCTTTCTCAAGGGTATATTTGCGTGTAAGTGACTAACAAACCCAACTGGAATTGAAACTCAGTGTTCCAACTTCTCATTTCGGACTGTTATCCACTACACCACCTGCACATCTGATGATATATACACTAGCTGAAATACTCATCTATATTAAGTATTCAAGACTGGTTATAACAACAGTCAAATGGTTCCTTAGTACCAATGGTTGGCTGGTAAACTTAATAAAACAAAGCAAGATTAAATTTTGTTATTGACATTTTTTTCATTCCTTCACTTTCTGGTTTTCATTTCTCAATCTTCAGAAATTGATTGAAGACTTAAAACAGAGGTTTAAAGTAATTAAAATAAAGAAAATGTTTTTAATTAAGATAAACCCATATATCATTATTATATTAATATATATGCATATAAATATATTATAAGTAAATCACATTGAGACTCAATACTTTCAAATAAAAATTTGAATGCAGCTGGCTTAGAACTGAAAACATGTCTTCATGGTAGAGTATGGCACACTGAATTATTATTTATTAGATGTTCTACTATCACAGATATGAATGTAGTCATGCACCTATACAAATTAGAGAATTGACCTTTATGAATACTAGCTGGCACATGTTGATTTATTCTCTTCTCTAACCTTTGAGTAGTTCTACTGATATAGTCACACTGGTATTTAAAATTATAAATAATTGAACTAAAATGATAAGAAGCTAAAGCCTCAATATGGATTGATCTTAACATCGGTTGGGTAGTAAAGACAATACATGGATTAACAACAGATAACAATTTTTTACACTTGCAGAGATTTGTTTAACATTGCTAATTCATAGTGACTGAATATACAGGACATTTATTAGGCTCCAAAAATTTAGGTTTATGATATTGTGTGATCTTAGCATGAATTCTACATTGGCTACACTCTTGATGTTGTTCATTCTCACACAAGAATGTCTTAATAAATTCAATTTCAGAATCAGAATTTATTTTAGTCTTTGAACAAATCATTAGTGCATGATGGACCAAAATCTTAATGAGGTCTAACTTTTGTTGTTTTCATTAAAAAAATACCAACATGTATATAACTTAGTAAAAGTTTATTTTACCATACAACAATGTTAAAAAAATTGAATCTGATTTTGCAATGAAACATCCCAAAAATGAAGAACATTATTATTCTCCTTTTCACAAGTAAATCAGTTTTGTTGAGTGTAACTCATTCAACACTTTATAAAATCATTTCTCACTCCAACTCAGTAGCAAACATAAAGACTAAATTAAAAATAATTAAATTTCATCTATATAACTTCTTATATCATAGTGAAACATCAAATGTACAACTAAAAAATGTCTATTTTAATATCTTTTTTTGTCAGTAAAAATATATTATTCACTATATCAAGTATAATTTTTATCTATATAACTATGTTTCTAATAACAATTATGTTGACCAGAAAGTCCTGACTCATTTAGGAAGCAGAAAGAAAAGAAAATTTTATGGAGCAACACCAACATTTATTCTTTAAAATAAAGTCCATCATTCTCAACAATATTCTGCCAACGATCAGTCAGCATCCAAATCTGTCTCAGATATCAGTCCACTGGCTTTGAATAAAAACACTGTAAACAAGTTTACTTCATTCATCAAAAGTGTTGAATTGCTGGTTGCAGAGGAAGTGTGGCATTAAATGGAATAGGCTATAGTCACATGAAGCAGCATTGGGACTGAATGGTGGATCTCAACAACATCTATCTGTTTGAACTTCTCTTTACTCAACCTGACAGTATGTGGCCTCACATTGTCTTGCCTGACTTCAATTGACCAAAGCACAATACTCCTTTTAGTTTGTCATACATGTGGTTTAGTTGCTGGCAATACAGTTTAGTGTTGATGGTGCGACTGTGTGGAACAAGCTCAAAATGCAGTACTCCTTGGAAATTTCACCAGACAGAGATCATGACCTTCTTGTCAAACCAATTCCATTGTGGAATGGATGCCAGTTGTTCAATTTGCGGGACCCATTTCCTCTCTCGATCATGAAGTACACCCACAAGTGACAATGGCTAACCTAACCTAATGTTGCTGTTGCTCCATAAAATTTTGTTGTTTTCTTTCCACTTCCATCCTAAGTGAGTCAGGACTTTCTGGCTTACCTACTATAATATAATAATAATTACAAAATAGCTGTAATTAATTGATACATATTTTACAGTCATTAATTTTGTTATTTTTCTCTGCAAGCCTTTTTGGTTGAGACTCATCAAAGGAAAATATAAAAACGAATTGAAAACAACATTTTCATTTGTTTTTGGTACTTTCCAATGAAGAAATAGTATTGAAATTAAAAAATATATATTTTGGAAGAATTATTCTGTGAAATTCCTTCTTCAAATGTTTTTCTTGCCTGTCTAAGAGAAATTGTAATCTTACAACATATGGTTACAAATGGTAATTATTACTATAAAAGATAAACCTATATTTCAGAAAATAGATTGAATCACCCTTTTCCCATGAGGAATAACATATTTTTTATACATTAAAACAATTCCCTGAGATCAATAAGTATGCATATTAAATTTGATAGGTCTATATAAAATGGTTTGGTTATGCATGGTGAACAAACCCTTCCCATTTATATGAGGGGGTGTTGAAAGGTTTTTTGCTTTACTCACTTCCCCAAATCAGTATTTAAATAACTAACCATCAAAATACTGATTTTGAGAAGTGGGTTGGGTTGAAAACATTTTACACTCTCCCATGCCCTGTATACACAAAATATTTCGGTTAATCAAGTGTGGTCAGGATCCTTACTAAATGAACCTTAATTCTCATATTTTGAAAAGTAAGAAGATGACTCATTTTTTTCCTTCATTATAAAGTTTTCATGCTGAATTTCCCTAATTTATAAATTAAAACCTTTTTGATCATAAATAATCCTTGAAAATCTTTTTAATTTATTGCTTATAACATGAAATGAAAATTAAAAAGTCATATTATCCAAAATTTGACAATAAATCCACATGCTGCTTACAACCAGAACCCCAAACTTATTCAGACAAAAAAAAAAAAAAAAGAAAAAAAGTTTCAAATAATATATTTACTCTTCATTGGCTACAGTAATGTAACAGTAATCATTTATTACCTGTGCACCACAGGTAATAAATGATGAGTATGCCTTTGACATTTCCTCATTTAGTACAAATGGCAGCTGCTGAGGTGTTGGTAAGGTAGAGTTTCTCACTCTTCAGGCTACATTTTTTTTTTTCTTTTGATTCAAGCTAACATCTTCATTTAAAAATTATTTTTAAGTCTTTGTGTTTTATGATAAAGCAATGATTTTTCCACTTTGATATTTATCAGTTCTGTTTATGTCCTAATTCAAGTATTTACGATAAAATTATCTTGGCTTGTCATTTTCTTATTGACCTATCTTGCTTTCTTCCATCTTAGATTCATTAGTATTTGATTTGATTGATTCATTTTCTATGGTTTGTCAACCCTTTTCAGGTTATTTAAAGCCAGAAAATATTTTTAGATTATAAGTGAATATAATGAAAACAAACTAGAATTGGAACTTGACACTCTAATTAATAATTCTGAGTCATTATCCATTATACCACCTGCACTTCCAAGCTTACAGAACCTGGTATTCCCAAGTGGTCACCTATTTAGGTACTGACCAGGCTAAACATTGCTTAACTTTGGTGATTGTATGGGAATTAGTGTTTCAATGTTGTATAGCTGTAAGCCAATTGTAATATTTTCACTCAACTTCATTAAATTTTTTTTCAATATAAAAATCCTTTTTGTGAAAGAATAAAAAATCAAGGCTAATACATTTGTCATTCAGAAATTCTATCATTCAGTATCGTCAAATTGTTGAAGACTTGGAAACATTCTTGAAGCATGGTCAAATTTGTTTATGTCATTCATAATTCATTTTGTCATGTCATCTATTTACCCAAGTGAAAAGTAAAGCATAAGTAATGATAATATATTAAGACTAGAACTACAGTGTGGGTATATTTGCTAAAACTAAAAACGCTAAAGATACTAAGCTTAAGCTAATAGTGATTCTACCTTTTTATAAGGTTGCCAAAATCTATAGCATCTGTAGTTAATATAACATCAGGTTAAGGGTTCAGAGTAAATCTATGCAATCCCCTCACAAAGATCAGAGTCTCACAGGAGTGTATTTAATATACAATTTTTAATAAAGACTATATAAGAGAAACCAGCTAGAGATTAGATTTGAAGAACAAAAGCCACCATCTTAGGTGAGATAACAAAATCAGGTATACCAAACCATGTATAGATAGTGACCTTTAAAAAGCATATATACTGAACATTCACTAAAAACCACTGAAGAAGAATTTTCACTGAAATAATGATAAAGATAGTTTTAAAAATGTGTAGAATAATGAAATTATGTTGTCAGAACTTACTATTCAACATATCATAACAGCAAAAATGAATCTATTTGTATAAATAATATGTAAAATAACTTCATTAATGTTTTTTAGTTGTTCATTTACTAGTAATACAAAAATTATACCTTTTGAAATGTTTTGGAGAAGGCATTTTATTTCACATATATTAATGTGTATAGTTTTGACTACCTTCAGATGATACCAAAATAGATTTTATACTTACTGTCACACCACAGCATCAGAGAAACCAGGTGCATCAACAGGTTTTACCTGGAAGGTGTCCTCCACCCACCACATAAAGATTTGCAACTTAGAGGATGTCTGTAACTGTAAACATGTAAATGATCCAGCTGTACTTGCACATGTAATGACAGGAGGGTATATAAACACCTACCTGAGAGGGGAAAAAACAGAGGGTCTCTCATATCATTTTGAGAAGACTCCACACTTTGTTGAAAACCCTCAAAATCAGTTCCATGCCTTTTGTTGCTTTTCATTGCAACATTTTGCCTGTATCCTTCTTCATTTGTTTATTATATTTTGGAAACATGGAACCATGTTTTGAGAGAATTAAAATATTTCAGGCAACTATCAAAGATCTGATTTAGGAAAATCTTTTGATATAAAAATTACCCACAAAATTGTAATTTAATGATAATATTTGCCTTGGGGATTAGTCTGAATAGAGATTAGTATAAATTTCATGGATGAATGGCGGACATTGTTGAGGAATTGTTTAGGAACCAGATTTAATATTTACTTATAAAACAGCCAATTCTGTATCAATATCAGCTGCAACTGATAAATTGATGAATTAAAAACAAAAATGCAAATAGCTTTATTTGAATTTTAGAAAAAACTTATGATTCATATTGTTCTCAGTTTGTGATTTTCACATTGCAACAATTTTTTCTTTGAGGATGATAATTTCTGATTCCATGCTTTATTAAGACTAATATTTTCCATCATTTGTTGTTATTTTTGACAAAATATTTCACATTGTAGTGTTTGATATTTTAACATAAAATATTTTCATTATTCATCATAGTTGTTTTTATCAAATTTATGAATAATAACTGGAATCTTGAAATACTTTGTCTTAGAAAAGGTTGAATTTTGGTTTATGATTCTTTCTGTCATTTAAAGAACATATGAATCAAAATGGAGAATTTGTCTTTACTTCTCTCCAAAATCTCTGTCTGTCTTTTCAGCCTTCCAAGTTTGTAAAATTTTTGCTGTTGATAAAATTGGTTTGTACATTTATCGTCTTTTTCAGTGGATTGTGATTCACTGAAAGACATGTTGAAGACATTTACTGGAACGGTTGGATTTCTGCAAACTTTTTGTAGAAGAGTTCCACTATGTCTGCATACCTGAGCATTCTACCTGGAACAGAAACAGTGAGTTAGATTGTATGCATGATTATTACACTTGATTCCACATGTTTGTTGTCTTGTGCTCTATCTGCCCTTCTTAGGAATAATTACCAAAAAAACAAAACTGTATTTTTTATAAATATTAAAATATGGGGAAGAGTTTGCTGGTTTAGTTTTTGTCTTTTGTAGAGATTCCACAAAATAAAATTTTTATCATTTAATACCAGAATGCTTTCTTGAACTGTAATGATATTTATTTTTTCTTTGCAAATTATTTGGATTTTCTTTTTCCAAAACTTCATCTGCTTTTTTTGCTTGCCATGATTTTTGTCATATATGCCATCTTCAAAATCCCTGCCAAATGAAAAAGGTGCTAAAATCCTAACTACAATTTAACAAAAGAAATTATAATTGTGTTAAGGTCTCCTGAAATAGTGCATGAATCTTTCGCTGATTGTGATGTTTGAATGGGAATTGCAAATCAATGCCTTTTTAAGAAAGTTTACTCTATTGTCTTTTTATATGAAAATTAGTTACATTGATAATTCCTTTCTTAACCGGAAAAACACTCCTATTAAATTTAAAAATAAAAAAAAGTACTATTTGTTTATTTTGGCATTCCAAATTTAAACCATTTTTTTTTTTTTAATTTAAAAAATTTTTCAATGAATTTAAAACATTTTTTAAATTTAAAAAAAATTGTCAATGACTGAACTTATGAAGAAATTTTAGGTTTAACTCTTGTTACTGTCTTGAAATTAATGTTTTCATTATTCATTCAGTTTTTAGGCTTGTCTGTGTTTACCCCAGTATTTCAGTAATGGCCATGTTAGCATTCTGAACATGAGCCTCAGGTTCAAATTTCATCAAATCTGATTTGTCATGAGGTAACATCTTGTTTATATCAGCCTAGGAAGATGATTTTAACATGTGGCACTTTTGGGGAAAAAGTCTGAACACCATATTCACAGGTTGACCCCATCCTTGTGAGTGAAATTGAAGTATACACCTCAGTTTGAATCTGTGGGTGTTGAAGAAACACAAATTTGCCTGAGTAAGCATCTGCAATAGGGATTAACTAGTCACTCTGCAACAAATGAGTATACACAAAAACAAGCAGCCAAACATTATTTCAGTCAATATATCTGTCAACCTTCCTAATGTCTATGTTGTAAATGTTATTAAGTACTTCTGTCATCTTTGTTTTTTCTCAAATAACTTCATTAATGTTTTTTCCTCAATATGAATACCAGTGTAAAAAAAATGGTATACTCTTTAAATTTAAAGCAAAGATGATTATTATTATTATTATTATTATTACCAAAACAGCAGAAAAATGAAAATACTTAGTACTTCAAACAATACTAGAAAATATTAACCAAAATGTCTTAATAAACAACAAAGATAAAGATACTTATCCAAAAAGGTACAAAATGTTGTACTTCTTTATTTAAAAAAATAATGTATAAAGAATTTAAAAAATGTAAAATATTGTCCCATTTGCTGCTGTGACTCTCTTATTCTACATTAAATTCATTTTTCATGCAATAAATAATCTAATAGTTATTCTGCAATTAAGTATTATTATTATTAAAATTAGTCAAAAATGAATAATTTCTCTTTGATCTGTCCTTACCTGAGGTATTTTTCCATTTTTCGTTCAAATTGTATAAAAATGGATTACATAACTCCCATAGGTACACTATAAGCCAGAAGTTTGGGGAAATCCTGTGGATACAAATATGTGGCATTGCTGGAAGTGCTTAAAAATTGAAGGTTGCATGCCTTTTTCAAAACTAATTTACTAGCTCACTTAGGGGTAGAGGGACTTTCTTTTCCTAAATGATTTTATCATATATTCAATTACAATAATAATGAAATTAACAAATTCAAATTTTAGCTCTTTTTGCCTAATCTAACTTACTGGATAATCATAATCTTAGGTATGGAAAATATATTTAAAATTTTTGATGTTTTATGAAAAGTAAATTAATTTTATATTGAAATAAGTTCATTTTTTATGAAGTTACATAAAATTGATTCTAAATTTAAGGCATGATGTTGTCTTTCCTAGTTTTAATTACTGCTTATGTATTTTGCATGTTTTTTTTTCTTTTTAAATAAAATGCTGTTAAAATTTGACTCCTGAATCAGAAAAGAAAATACAAATATGTGGCATTGTTGGAAAGTGTTTGAAAAGCATAAGTTTGCCCAATTCTTGTGAGTGAACTTGTGTTGATGAAATTGTTCAGAATCCATTAATCGCACTAGTACATCACTGGTGGTTTCTTCATGTTCAACATGATTATGCCAAATTATGTGTTCTCTTCCAGAAATTGTAACTAAAGTCTAACCAGCATAGTTACAGTATAAACCATAAGTTGGTCTTCAACAGGGATTAGTTAACCACCTATGCAGAGCAATCAGCCTTTAAATAATGATAGATATTTTATGTGTGTGTTGAAGTGCTGTGTTACCCTGTAAAAAATTGTGTTGCTTGCAGAAATGGGATAATAAGAATTAAAATTTGTGCAGGTGAACCTGAGAAAATGGACAAAAATGTTTTAATATAAAAAAAATTGAAAAGCATTTAGTTGTTAAAAAAAAATTCTCAAAAAAACCTTAGTAGAAGTGAGGAATAAATGCCACTATTTATAAAAGTTTTGTTGGAGGAATAAAATAAATATTCAGTATTTAGCTTCATTGTTGTCTTTTCTTTTGTCATGTAGCCTGAATATCCAATCAGTGTTGTTCATGTTTCCAGCTTATTTTCTTTTTCCCAACTCTTTAACCACTTCACAGTTATGAATTTACATCTACATGGAAGCAATTTTAAGCCACATATGCTACATGTGGTCTATTTCATGTTTATATACTGCCAATGTTACATGACTCATTGTTGGTTCCTTGCCTTGTTGGTTTCACTCTTTTA